AACACAATTTTTTTCGTCAATAAATGAGTTCCATTTTCTTATTTACTGAAACCCAACAATTTTGAATACCATATCGACCAATATAAACTTACATCTAAGACATGAGATTAATATGGTTCAATAGGAAAGTTAAAAACGAAACTACTGACATAAAAACCACAACATTTGGTTGAGTATTCTTACCATGATCGAAGAAAAACCGAAACTTAAACCCCATGGCTTCTTCCTTCGATTTCTCTCTCTACATTTGATATTTGATGATATTTTATGTGGGTAAATGATCAAAAGAAATATATGGACCAATTTATACTTCAAAATCGGCCGATACTTCTAATTGAAGATCAACAATAATGAGATGCACTAGATCAATTCTCGTATCAAGCGCAATTGATGGGGTGAGGATGACATTAAAGGTTATCAATGGTTCAGATTCTTTCTTCTTACACAATACTTCGTTTCTATATAGAATTGGTTTCATGTGAGACTAGCTTGTATTCATAAGATCTGTAAAATCACAAAATAACACTGAATCTTCACAATAATTCATTGTGAATGTATGAAAAACAACGAACCCCTCACAGCAAAAACAATATGAAGGTTTACTTTCACAAACATTCACAGTGTTTTTGCTATGAAGGTTCATTGTTATTTTACCGGTTTTTCGGGTCTCATGAAAACAGTCTAGTCTCACATGATCCCAAGTCTTTATATGTGTGTGTGTGTGTGGAGGTTCAATTGAAAAAAAAGTAAAAATACGAAACATAGAACATATAAATCACATGTGATTAAAAAGCGTGATTAAATCACGTAAGTTGCAGGGCCATGTCACATGCGCACGACGCACCTTTTTAGTTTGACCCTGTTCCTTATGGGAAAATGGTATAACTAGTCATTTTGACCGGCAAATTTACCTTTTAACCACTTCTCTTCTACATTTTCAACAAAATCACCACCTCTGCAGGTAACCATTCCTCAAGTTGCGAAGAGGTTAAGGAAAATTTGAAAATGGTCAGCAAGTAAAACATCCGCAACCGGGACCAAATCTGTAAATTAGTCTAAATACAGGTACCAAATCTGTAAATTAATCTAAATACTTCCTCATCTTGCTACAATGCTACTTACGGACCCGTTCAGATATTTGTTTTTCTTTTTCTTTTTAGACCCTCCACAAGTTGAGGAAGTCTTCCTTGCGGAGATGATGACGATGATTTTGTTGAAGAGGTCAGAGAGAAATGACTAAGAGTTAAATTTCTCAGTCAAAATGACAACATTTGTTAATTCCTCATTCCTTAATCACATGTGATTTAACTTTAAAAAACAGATGTCATATAGGTGTTATTCTGATTTGACATCCATCCATATTATCATACTTTTTGTCAATGTTCGCACGTTTTCAACGTTTTCACCATTCTCATTAAAACTCGTCCCCTGTTGACAAATGATTAACCGTTGAAATTAAACAAATTATATCCATTTATGAGTATTCACATGAGTATGTTGAACCATTCTCTTACAATCAATAAATTGGTGGGATATTAACATGGACAATAACTATGTCTTAACTATTTTTTAAAGGTCAATATAATTGTTAGTCCCGAAGGGCAAGGCAATAMGCAGAAAGTAATTGTAGAAGGGGGGGTTGAATACAATTACTCAGATTTTTTTCAACTTTTTAATTCTTATTGATTTATATCAARAAWTAATAYACACAGAAAAACAAAAGATTGTTGCGGAAGATAGGAAAGGAAAACCTAACCTAAACAATCTTACAAAGAGAAGAACTTTCAAGAACAACACAGAGAGTTCTT